TGCATTTATATACATTTGTAACAAATAATACAATCATTTCTTATAGTTCCTTATAATCAATAACAATTAAGTGATTCTTTTTAACCCAAGAATTAATCTTGCACAAGAAATTACTTATAAACTATTCGTTTTGTACGACAAATAAATTATTTGTATTTCACATCTGTCATTTTCATTTAAGGCCGAATCCAATTAGGTAACTAATTTTGATATTTGCATTTATATACATTTGTAACAAATAATACAATCATTTCTTATAGATCCTTATAATCAATAACAATTAAGTGATTCTTTTTAACCTAAGAATTAATCCTGCACAAGAAATTACTTATAAACTATTCGTTTTGTACGACAAATAAATTATTTGTATTTGACATCTGTCATTATCATTTAAAGCTGAATACAAACGTTACAAAACTAAATTGTACATTCAGTTATGAATTGTTTTAATATTAACATAAACCTTCATAATTCTTCAAAAAAAAATATAATAGTTTCTTATAGTTCCTTATAAACAACAGTAATTATGTGATTATTTCATTTATTTAACACAATTGCTTACAATTCTTAACTATGCTTAACATTAAATAATGTAAATAACTAAAGTAATAATTGTTTATAAACTATTAAATTTGAACGTAAAATAATTTTGTCATTTCATTTAAATGCAAATACAAACATTATAAAACTAAATTTTGAATTCAATGACTGTTATTAAACCTATCTCTATAATTCCGAAAGATTTCTTTTTACAATGAGAAATTATAGTATATTATATAATAAATAATGTCTTCTAATCAATTGATTTAATTTACTTGTGAAAATGACAGATTTCAGTTAATATATGTAAAGCAATCCTCTAATAACTCTGAACGTGTAACGAGTCTCGAATAACACGATTGAAGAAAAACAAGTTTTTAACTACATGATTTCTTAAAGTATATTTTTTCGAAATTCTTAGTAACAGAACTTGAATTTTGAACAAAATATATATGTGAAATGGATCGGAAGTATCGAATAACACGGTTTTGAATAGCAGAAAACCAATAAACCTTGTTATTCAACAATCAATCAATTAATGTAAATCGAGTGTTAAGTTAATTATTTCCACTGACACCTTTCATTTGAAATTATGACGCAATGCAATATTATGAAACTGTTATCAATCATTTTCATTATAATAACATCTTATTTGCATTGTTTTTCATGAATCAAGAAGGTATAATGAACGTTTCTGCGCCGTTAAACATACACTTGTATCAAACATGTATGCATCAGAAGTATCAAATAACACGGTTTTGAATAGCACGAAACCAATTAACCGTGTTATTCAAGAGTTGACTGTACAATCAATTAATGCAAATCGAGTGTTAAGTCAATTATTTCTACAGAGAGCTGTCATTTGAAATTATGACACAATGCAAATATTATAAAACAAAAAAAAATGCCAATAATTTTAATAATAACATTCTTACCCTTATTTGCATTGTTTTTCATAATCCAAGAAGGTATGATGAACATTTCTGCGTCGTTAAACATAATCTTGTATCGAACATATATGCATCAGAATTATTAAATAACACGGTTCTGAATAGCACGAATCCAATTAATCGTGTTATTCAAGTATTGACTGTACAATCAATAAATGTAAATAGAACGTTAAGTCAAATATTTCCACCTGTCATTTGAAATTATGACAGAATGCAAATATTATAAAATGAAAATATTATCACTGTTACCAATCATTTTAATAATAATATTCTTAGCCTTATTTGCATTGTTTTTCATGAACCAAGATATTATGAACGTTTCTGCGCTGTTAAAAATATATATATGCATCGGAAGTATCAAATAACACGGTTTTTAATAGCACGAAACTAATTAACCGTGTTATCAATGAATTCAAATCGAGTGTTAAGTCAATTATTTCCACTGACAGCTGTCATTTGAAATTATGACACAATGAAAATATTATAAAACGAAATTATTAACACTGTTATCAAATATTTGTATAATAACAATATTTCTGGAGTAATAAATTAAAAAAAAATAGCAGAACTTAAACATCAGCATCACATGACAAAAAAAAATTACGGAAGTCCACGCTTCATCAATTATAAGAAAAATAATGATATAAACGCGTATAATTAACATACGAAGATAATTAACATACGCGTATAATTAACATACAAGAAAAATAAAATAAGATTCTTGTAATCATTTGATTTATATTAAAAATAAATAATAATAATAATAATGTGTTGGCCAAACATCGATACATAAGAAGAAGAGAGAAAAAAGTACAATTTATACATAAATAAATTTTAACATACGATAAAATAATATATATTAATAGGCTGGCCAAAGGGCGATATTTAAAATAATCCGTATTTTCAAATTTATAAGTAGAAATAAATTTGAAAATACGGATAATAAATCAATCAATAGGCAATTTCAATATTTTTTTTTAATTTTTCATTTTACAACTATGTCATAAATTATTCATAAAATTCTATAATTATGTATTTTCTTTTAAAAATAAATGAATAAATACATTGTAATTTATTCATTCACAAATACTATTTTATTACGTAAAGTTTCGTTGATGACCCCCAATATAAATTAGCAACAACAAAATTAAAGACTAAAACTTGTATTGATTTCTACAAAATTATATTTAAAAAAAATTAAAAATGTTTCAGTTCATATAAAATTTTTCAAACTTGTAAATAGTTTTGAGCTAGATTTGATTAGTGTGTGTGTAGCAAATAAATTTGAATAGTCTGCAATTATTAAGAACGGAAATGAGTATAGTAAATTTAATAAAATATTATAGAAGACATTAATTGCTAATTTACGTTGAGCTACTTTAAACCAATCATTAAATACTCATCAAATAAGCTAGTCTCTCGAGATATTGAAATTAAACACGTATTATGTAAATCCATAGATTAGATGAAATATCTACACATGAAATAGACCAAATATTTGGTCTATAACTGAAAGTTTGGTTTGTTATATCTCAAACAAGAAGTTGTATAATTAACCAAAATTTCATACTCAATGACCTTAATATTTAATTAATTAAGATTAATACAATTATTAGATTTAAACTTGCATAAATCTGATTGTAATTAAAGAAAATCAATCATAGAATCATTTAATTATATAATGACTCTAAGAAACAAACTAGTATAATTGGACACGTCCAAATTGATGACTAAAGGATGAAAGATCGTATTTGTTCTAACAATTAAACAAAGCATTTACATAATTGAATGCACATCAATTATTTCACATGTTTGCTTAGAAAATGTGTTTTTCCGCATATTTTTTTTATGTAAATATCTTTTTTATTACTTGAAAATTATTGCAAACCTTACTCATTTTATTTATCTGTTTCAACTAGTTTTAGTTGTATCAGTAATTAAAAGTAGTTTAAACACTAGTTTACTCTATCAATTAAAAAAATAATAGCAAAATTTCAAAAAAAAATGTAAGATCGTTAAAATATGACGATAAAAAATATTCATATTTTTTTGTTAATTAGGTAAATTAATAATACAAAATATTATAATTCACGTTAATTTATTGATTGATATAGGCTAATATGTTCTAAATGTGAATTTTCGTATGGTTGATAATAAAATGTGTTTTCTTCTTTACTTTACTTCTTTACTTGAAAATTATTGCAAACCTTGTTTAGATTTATATTTTTCAACCAGTTTTAATTATATAATCAATTAAACCCTATTTAAACATTAGCTTACTCCATAAATAAAAACCATTCATATTTTTTTTGATAATTAGATAAATTAATAATACAAAAAATTATAATTTTCGTTAATTTATTGATTGATAATATGTTCTAAAAGTGAAATTTCACATGATTGCTTAGAAAATGAAAATAATAATCTAAAAATATTATAATTCTTCTTAATTTAATGATTAATAAGTGCTAATATGTATGGAAAGAGAATTATCACATAATTTTTAGTTTTAGATTATCTGCCGTGTATATAAAGCAGTAGTCCTAAAACACTTCCCCTCCAATTCTATTGGATATAAATCGGTGTATTCGTCTTATATTTTTACTTAAAAGATTCTATTATCGAAGTATGATTTTATTATTTTAAAAGAATTATATGGAAAGTTCTTATTTATTTTATATAGTAGTCCGAGATGCCAAACTTTGTCAAAAACTTGATATGTTTAAAAAGGCAGGAAAGTAAAAGATACTGCTCTTTTATTTTCCAGGTCTTGGTAGATTCTGTTTACTTCTTCTATTCTG